CACTGCCTTCTGCGGATCACCAGAGCACGACCCCGAAGTTGCCTATAACGACCAATCGTGGTGGTCGCCCACGTTTAGTATTCACAGTAATATCCCCTACGGCCCTGACGATTCGCCACCCATCGCAATTCAACAAATTGTTGTGATGCAGTCTACTCCAGAATCGATAATTGTTCACATTGTGGCAAAAGTAGCGGCCGCAAAGATCGCGTGAACCCGTTGTGAACAGCGTATATGAATTTTAAAAAACCCATCGATTCTTACACACATTATTGGATGCATAGTGAGCCTTAAGAATCTACCGATTAACTATATAATAATAACCGTTTTGGTCAGAGCACGTTACTGACGATCATAAGGTTGCTAGCTTATATTACTGCTGGCGGCCGACCCAACCCACCGCCCTCAGTTGATAAAATAAATACCACTTTGTAGTGAATTGTAGTGGATTATCCACAATTGTAGTGGATAATCCACAAGGTGTGTGACAGATATCGCTCCCACCCAAGGCCGTAGCCATGGAGTCAACATTGGGGGGGACCAAATCTTCCAGGGGGTCTGGGGGTCCCAACCCAGAAAAAAAATCTACATTTGAAAACTAATTTCCTGCCTAAAATATTTTAAAATTCACTAACACATGAGATGGACTTTTTATTTATGTTTTACAATAATGTCTAACAGTGTTATTGTATTACATTGCTCTGTTTTTACTTTTTTACCGTTTCTTATTTCATTGTATCTAATGTCAGAGATTAGGGATTAATAAAGTACAACCATAACCACAATCATATAAACAGAAATCTATGCATTGATTTAAAGGAAGACAAGTCCAGATATTGTGGCCAAGGTTTAGCAAATTGTTGTTTTAATTTACATAGCTAAGCAAAGATTTATATAGCAATATATTGGGGGGGACATTTTCAGCAGATTTGAATATTGGGGGGGATGTGTCCTCCCCAATATATATTATAATTGCGGCCTTGCTCCCACCCATAGAAATGTGGAATTTCCATTGAGGGTTGATGGGTGTAAACAGATTATGGGCAGTGAACTTACGAATCGGTTCTGTTCCTGGGGTCGTTTGTAAGTCTAATAATTTGTAAGTCGGAACACAATAACGTTCGTTCGTTTCTCAATTCGCTTGTAGTGGTGAAGGTCGCGGCGGCAGCGTGTTGAGTAGTGGCGGTCCAGACCTCCATTTCCCTGGCGACAGAATCCAACTCTTCCTGGGGTAATTCCCAGGCGTTCCCAGGCCAGCCGAGTGACACTGTCCCGCCAGCATGTCCTGGGCCGGCCCCGGGGTCTTCGCCCGGTGGGACGTGCTTCCCGGTAGAGTTCCAGGGGGAGTCTATCGGGGGGGCATCCTTACCGGGTGCCCGAACCACCTCAATTGGCTCCTCTCGATCCGGAGCAGCGGCTCGACTCCGAGGCTCTCCCGGATTGCCGAGCTCCTTGCCCGATCTAGAAGAGTGATCTCGGCAACCCTGCGGAGAAAGGTCAAAATCGGCCCCTTGTACCCGCGATCTCATTCCTTTCGGTCATTACCCAGAGATCATGGGCATAGGTGAGGGTGGGAACGTAGATCGACCTGTAAACAGAGAGCTTTGTTCGAGAACTCAGCTCCCGCTTCACTACCACGGAACGTTACAGCGCCCGCAAGACTGCGGACGCAGCACCGATCACCCGGCCGATCTCCCGCTCACATTTAACCATCACACACAATATTGTACTGTGCCTAAATGTACATAGGTTAGTGTTACACTGGTAGGAACCTCCTGGTGACACCAGCCCACAGGGGATTATTGTGTCCGTCCGTCGTGCATCCAAAAATGGGAGGGGTGGGGCTGGGTGGAGAGGGGAGGGTGGGGAGGGGCTGGGGAAGGTGGGGAGGGGAGGGTGGGGAGGGACTGGGTGGGGAGGGTGGGGAGGGGCTGGGTGGGGAGGGTGGGGCTGGGTGGGGGGTGGGAGGGGTGGGGCTGGGTGGGGAGGGGCTGGTCACCCCGTGGTGCCCTTATAAAACTCAACGTGTAACCTACTCACGCCGGCTTGTGCCCGCCCTCACAGTCGGGCATATTTGCGGAACACACCACGTGGTGCCGCATGTTGACCCTGGCCATTGACCGAGCAACCCAACGTTCCTACCAGCTCCCTCCGCAGGAATGTGTTAAAATGTTTCGCGGTTCAATAAAAAAGGGAAGCTTTGTTAAACTCGTAAATAATAGTGTACATTTGCATGCAATATTGTACAGCAAAAAAATAGAAAAATAAATCATTTATTTCAACTATCTTGAGCTGCGATGCTGGCTTGCTTGTTGGACGAGGCACAATAAGTCACCACAATTGCGCACACACACGCACAGACAACAACGACAACGATCCCTCCCGTAGCCTTCCAAGCTGTTTGAGCAAGTGCTGTTCGCGAGCAGAGCCTATGGATGTCGGCATGGCAAACGAGGGCGTGGGTGGCGAGCACCACGTTCGGGCGCATTTGAGTCATTGGAGGCTGATTCGACTTCGGGGAGGCCCAGAACCGGTTCAGATAATCGTCACTGGTGTCGGTCGTGAGTGAGAATCCAACTCGGGGGCACAAAAAAGACAAAGACCCCCCCGTATAGCCTTACCAGACTGTAGGGGCAAGTGCTGTTAGCGAGCACCTGTGAAGGCCGGAACGATACACGAGGGGGTGGGTGGCCAGCACCACGCCCGACCGCCTTTATCTCCCCAGTGGCGCTGTTTACTACACACCGCACCGGGTACTCATTTGAGGCTGAGTCGACCTAGGGGAGGCCCAGGACCGGTTCAGATAATCGTCACTGCTGTTGCCCGTGAGCGGGAATCGAATCCGGTCGCCGTGTTCATAGCGCTACCCACAGACATGCGTGCACACACACAGACACACACAGACACACACGCACACACCAACCCTCACTCCCTGCGCCGAGGCTCTCATTACATCTCGCGGAGGATCGTTCCGGGGAATAATGTTCCGCGGGTCAGGTTGCAAGTGCGCGTTGGGGTTTTAAGTCGATGTAAAAAAAAATAGTTAATGGAAGTTGGTTCGTTAGTGCGGGTTTTCGTAAGTGTGGGCGTTCGTAAGTCGAGGACTGTCTTACTACTTCGAGCAGAGATAATCTTTGACCAGACCAGCTGGAAGCAACCCATCCTACAGAGCAAATCTTTTTTTTATCCTCTGCCTCATTACTCCCACTTCAAGAATATAAGAAGCGTTTATGAGTTAAAAACACACAAGATTAATATAAAAAAATAACTCAGGTTTGTTTTTCAAAAACGGTATGTAATGCATAATCAATACCATCTTGTCCTGGTTCTTTGAGGTCAGAATGAGCCCCTTTATAGCTCAGTAGGCCAAAATGACACGTGCAAGTGCTGTGGCTGATAGACAATTGAAGTTTCTCTCGTGGTGTTTCAGGTTTCAACTCACGACCCGTTGCCAATACCCAATTAACATGATCATGTACCACGGCACCAACATAGATGGTGCAAAAAATATCTTGGCCAGGGGCTTCCGGCGATCCGAAGACGGCATGCTGGGTCCCGGTGTCTACGTGAGTCGCGACATAAACAAGGCGAGATGTTACCCCCTGAACTGTCCTGCCGACCAGAGGGTCATCCTGAAGGTGAAGGTCAGGGTGGGCAAGGTGAAGAAGATCGACAGTCAGGACCACCCCCTGCGTTTCACCTGGCACGACCACGGCTACAACACCGCCTGGGTGCCACCCAACTGCGGGATGGTGAAAAGCGGGAGGGAGGAGGACTGCGTCTGGAATCCGAGCAGAGTTCAGCTCATTGGCGTGGCGGAAGGGCCTCCTGGATTCTTCATGTCTTTTTCTGATGCCAGCAGTAAATACTGATATTTGTCTTCTTGATAACCAAGGCAGGACTGAGTAGGTGGCTGCACGATGCGATAACCAGTTCTTCATGTTCGTTCGGTGTTTTTCTCGATAATCTGGTTTACTCCCTAATGCGAAAGCAATAAAACATCAGCACTTCATAGACATTCTTGCCAGCATGGCGCCCTTCGAATTGTTGAAACCGCGTGGGTATTTCGATTTATTTCCTGGTATGTGGATGTATTTTAGATAACTGCCTTCTCGTCTCTTATGCAAATATAGTCAACACGAGGCACGAACTGAACATCCCTGCCTGCATGATGCTTCTGGCATTATTGAGATTACGTGCGGTTTTGTCGGGTCAACAATGTCTTGCATGCAGCTTCTCCTCCTAAGAACTCGGGTCGAGTTCTGCACGCAATGCTTCATGATCCATGTTTTTGGGTTAGGCCACGTTGTAGTTTTATGCCAAAATTACCCTCCACCACCCAGCAAGATTGTCCCATTTACAAATATATCATTCCTATGTGTAATGTATTGATTAATACAACTCATTGGTGGCTTCAGAATTTGACTTGGTTTTCAATTCAGTCAATAAAATATACTGTACTGTCCTGCATTATTGTGATTGGGCTTGTTATCCCCGTTAATACTTGTAATCTGTAAACTTTTCTTAATTTGCAATGTCATAATTATTTCTGGGATATCCGATGAAGTATTCAAATACCTTTAATCATTCCGGTCACTCAACTAATCTGATGGGTGGGGCTTGATGACATAATGCGGAGGTGTGGCTTTGTCGGGGGTTCCCTGGCTGTTAGAGACAGCTTGTTGTAGCAGCCGCGATTTATTGTAAAACTAGCTGTACTATCCGGCTTCGTCCGGGACTTGGATTCACCACACCCGGCCGCCTTTGTCTCCCCAGTGGCGATGTTCACACCACAAGTTACTCGTTTGAGGCTGAGTCGACCTAGGGGAGGCCCAGGACCGGTTCAAATAATCGTCACCGGTGGTGGCCGTGAGCGGGAATAGAACACTACGATGCGTTACCCTTCCACATGCGCGGGTCACATGACAAATCTGACGTCACAGCTCACTTGCCGTGCCAAAAATATATGCATTATTGAGCTCCCCCCCCCTAAAAAAAGTGTATTTTATAATTTGTGTATGGTATACCGTCTGGAACGTACCCACATGGCAAATTTCAAGTTTGTTGCATGTCGGGAAGTATGCTAAACATTTTGAACAGACACATTTACAACTTTGCCTTTTATATATATGGAGATTGCCGACTTTTATTAAAAACTCCAAAGCATGGGGAGGCCTGTATCCAGCATTGGTTTGACAAGGGTTGTATAGTATTATAGTATGAAAAATTACGGTGAATTATTTTGACAAATGGTTTCACATGAACTGTTTCTCAAGACGTAACTTTATCATTCTGCCTTATACACCACAGATCTGCCACGTGCGAGAGTCCACCAATATAAACATGGAATATCTTTCAGGAATAAAAAAAGACCTAAAAAACAAAATCTCGATACTATTAAGAGGCGAAACCCCCAAAAACAACACCGTGTACACCATGTACCACGCACCAGCGTGGATGGGGCCAGAGCCATCCTCTCCGGGGGCTTTAGACGGTCCTCTGAAGGCATGCTGGGCCCCGGAGTGTACGTGAGCCGCGATATTGACAAAGCCAAGGCGTACCCACAAAACGTACCACACGACGACAGGGTGGTTCTGGAGCTCCAAGTTAACGTGGGAAGAGTGAAGAAGATCGACAGACAGAACCATCCCCTGCAAAAGGCCTGGCGTTTTGCAGGCTACGACACTGCATGGGTGCCACCCAACTGTGGGATGGTACCCAGTGGGCTGGAGGAAGAATGTGTTTGGGACCCGAACAGACTGACGGTCATTCGTGTGGTGCAAGCGCCACTGTATTTTTGGTATGCTCCTCCAGCTGGTGTGTCCATGCCTTCAGGTGTCAGAAGGGTACCTCGATATTTGGAGTATGCACCTGCAGCTGATGTGTCCATGCCTTCAGGTGTCAGAAGGGTACCTCGATATTTGGAGTATGCACCTGCAGCTGATGTGTCCATGCCTTCAGGTGTCAGAAGGGTACCTCAATATTTTGGGTATGCTCCTCCAGCTGATGTGTCCATGCCTTCAGGTGTCAGAAGGGTACCTCGACATTTGGGGTATGCTCCTCCAGCTGATGTGTCCATGCCTCCAGGTGTCAGGAGGGATCCTCCATATTTTGGGTCTGTGCCTCCAGTTATGTCGATGGGTCAATGGGTCAGGAGCGCTCCATATTTTGGGTATGTGCCTACAGCTGATATGTCGATGGGTCAATGGGTCAGGATCGCTCCATATTTTTAGGTATGTGCCTCCAGCTGATACATCAATGGGTCAATGGGTCAGGAGCGCTCCATATTTTGGGTATGCGCCTACAGCTGATATGTCCATGTGCCAATGTGTCAGGTGTATTTCTCAATATTATGGGTAAGCGCCTCCAACTGAAATGTAAATGGCTGGTGTCAGATTGGCTCTTCCATATTTAGGGCCCACGCCTCCAGCTTGCATGTCCATGCCTCCAGGTTTCTGTAATGAAACTAATTTTGCAAATAAATTGACTTCTAGACATTACTTCCTATTTCCTGCTAACCTGTGAGGCATATGATAATACATCCCACCTATTTTAGACCTGTATATTAACAAAGCAAGCTGCGGATCATTTTCAATGGCAGACAATTACAACCGCAGCCATATTCATAGAAAAGTGTATCCCACACCTTATAATCCAGTAGTATAGTTACGTCTCTAAACCCATAGACGGCGCTACCATTTCCAAGTACAGTACTGTAAATGCTGCCCGACTCGAAACAGCACAGGGTAAACTAAAAGGTGTAGTAGGTTTGAGGCAACGCCGGCGTTTCTTCGTAACCAAGTACAATCCACATCTTTGCCAATATAAACACACAAATATGTGCAATGCAAGTATATTATGCAAAACAAACAGTCCATAATAACTGCATTGTGACCATATTAATTTTTTTAAGCCTTGCACTAATTTTTGCATTTGACGTATATTTCGTCGTTTTATACAGTATAACTATAGTCACCCTATAATCTTTAATGCTAACGTTTCTGTAGCAAAGTTTTTGTAATTTGTCATGCGATCAATCTTGAGGTAATCTGCCAAAGGTTATTTGCGCTGCCGGAAATTGTTTGCAATATTTTCGATTCCTCATGCCGTACCGTAGTTGATTTTTGTTCAGATTTCTTTCTGTTACGCTTTTGCCATGTTGGTGACGCAGCTCACTCTAACCTGATTAAACAAAATAAACTTGATTGCTTCTATTGTGGCCAATTTTCTCAGCACAGATTTGATTCTCTCAGCAAGGAGATGGGGGTGTGCAATGTCTTTTGAACATTTAAAGGCGATAGTTCATGTACAATGCCCGTTTATTAAAGTTTCATGGGCTTTGAACTGTCAATGCATATACAGTAAATTGTTATGAACCTGTACCGATACCCCCTACCAATCCCGCGTCAAGCGAGGTCCTTTGTTCCATCAAACCAATGCATTAACATTCTACATTTGTTTTATGATTGAGAACTATAAGGGGTGGAATTCTGCAGCAAAGGTGATGAACCACTGCACTAGAGCACCTATCTGTTTACAAGTGTAACGTAGCGGCTTCAGACACGGACTCAAGAGGGCTTGAAATTTATTTCTCGTCGGCATACAGTTACGACTTTAATGACAACCATTAATTCCTTATCCCTGACTAACTTTATAACCGGCTCACTATACAGCAACAACGGCTGTCTGACTATACAAGCTGTATGACTATATAGCGACGATGACAATGTTTAACCATATAGTGAGACAGCTACATAGCGACGACGGCGACGAAGAGACAGCAGCGACGATGATCTCGGCAACAACCGTGAGAACCACGAACTTTCCAAACGCCCAGAACCGCGTGCCACTCTCCCTTATATACCCCTAGCGCGGCCATGCCCCGCCCCTGGCCCCGCCCCTGGCCACGCCCCTCTTCGCGAAGTTTCTCGCGGGTTCTGGGAGCTTCCCGATAAGCCCCGCCCCCCCCCCCCCTTGTGGCCACTCCCCTGGAAGTGGGCTGTGTTGCTGTTTCGCCACCCGCGATTCGTCCTTACGGCCGCCAGTCGGCGCACTGACAGCTGCACAGTGCTGCACCTACAGCCACCTCTGGCTTAACGCGTCCTCTCACCCCACCCCTCATAGCGCGAATTCACAGTTAGGGGCCGTCCATAAATGACGTCACGCACCTGGGGGGAGGGGGGGTCAGACATTTGTGACGATGTGTGACGAGAGGGAGAGGGGGAGGGGGGGGGGTTGAGACATGTGACGTCACATCAAAATGCGCAACTTTAACTATAGAACTGTTATAACAACACTCCTACAACATTAGAGTGCAGCGCCACATTAAACACGCACTACAATGACAATAGTTTAAAGCGATTTGAAGCATGTTTTATTTTCAAAATGGAAATATGGTTTTGGGGGGGGGGGGGGGCAGAGCTTTGTGACGTCATATTTGAGGGGGGGGGGGGTGTCTGACTTTTTGTGATGCCGTGTAACGAAGGGAGGGGGGGGGTCAAAAATCGTCCAAAACCGTGTGACGTCATTTATGGACGGCCCCTTAGGCGATTCATCTTGTAGGGACACACTTCACGCTTCCGCCGTGCCGTCGCTCAAGAGAAAACAAAACGACTTCAATATATTAAAAAAACACAAAGTTTCAATATATTACTGATGGCGTCACGGAAGCGCTCAGTGCGACGAGCTGGGGAGAGCCGTCTTCGATCCACAGCTGTACACAACTTTAGCGTGCAGCACCTCCACACATTCACACATAGACAAGACATTCACACATAGACAAGACGTTCACACATAGACAAGACATTCACACGTGGACAAGACATTCACACATAGACAAGACGTTCACACATAGACAAGACATTCACACATGGACAAGACATTCACACATAGACAAGACATTCACACGTGGACAAGACATTCACACATAGACAAGACATTCACACATGGACAAGACATTCACAAATAGACAAGACATTCACACATAGACAAGACATTCACACATAGACAAGACATTCACACGTGGACAAGACATTCACACGTGGACAAGACATTCACACATAGACAAGACATTCACACGTGGACAAGACATTCACACATAGACAATACATTCACACATAGACAAGACATTCACACATTGACAAGACATTCACACATAGACAAGACGTTCACACATAGACAAGACATTCACACATAGACAAGACATTCACACGTGGATAAGACATTCACACATAGACAAGACATTCACACATGGACAAGACATTCACACATAGACAAGACATTCACACATAGACAAGACATTCACACATAGACAAGACATTCACACGTGGACAAGACATTCACACATAGACAATACATTCACACATAGACAATACATTCACACGTGGACAAGACATTCACACATAGACAAGACATTCACACATGGACAAGACATTCACACGTAGACAAGACATTCAAACATAGACAAGACATTCACACGTGGACAAGACATTCACACGTGGACAAGACATTCACACATAGACAAGACATTCACACGTGGACAAGACATTCACACATAGACAATACATTCACACATAGACAAGACATTCACACATGGACAAGACATTCACACATAGACAAGACGTTCACACATAGACAAGACATTCACACATAGACAAGACATTCACACGTGGATAAGACATTCACACATAGACAAGACATTCACACATGGACAAGACATTCACACATAGACAAGACATTCACACATAGACAAGACATTCACACATAGACAAGACATTCACACGTGGACAAGACATTCACACATAGACAATACATTCACACATAGACAATACATTCACACGTGGACAAGACATTCACACATAGACAAGACATTCACACATGGACAAGACATTCACACGTAGACAAGACATTCAAACATAGACAAGACATTCACACGTGGACAAGACATTCACACATAGACAAGACATTCACACATAGACAAGACATTCACACGTGGACAAGACATTCACACATAGACAAGACATTCACACGTGGACAAGACATTCATACATAGACAAGACATTCACACGTGGACAAGACATTCACATATAGACAAGACATTCACACATAAACAAGACATTCACACATAGACAAGACATTCGCACGTGGATAAGACATTCACACATAGACAATACATTCACACATAGACAAGACATTCACACATAGACAAGACATTCACACATAGACAAGACATTCACACGTGGACAAGACATTCACACATAGACAAGACATTCAAACATAGACAAGACATTCACACATAGACAAGACATTCACACATAGACAAGACATTCACACATAGACAAGACATTCAAACATAGACAAGACATTCACACATAGACAAGACATTCACACATAGACAAGACATTCACACATAGACAAGACATTCACACATAGACAAGACATTCACACGTGGACAAGACATTCACACGTAGACAAGACATTCACACGTGGACAAGACATTCACACATAGACAAGACATTCACACATAGACAAGACATTCACACATAGACAAGACATTCACACGAAGACAATACATTCACACGTGGACAAGACATTCACACATAGACAAGACATTCACACGTGGACAAGACATTCACACATAGACAAGACATTCACACGAAGACAAGACATTCACACGTGGACAAGACATTCACACGTAGACAAGACGTTCACACATGGACACGTCGACGGAAATACAAAGATCCCCGTAAATCCTTCGCCAGGCTGCTGGGGCAAGAGCTGTAAGCAAGCACCTATAAAGGCCGACCGCCTTTGTCTCCTCAGTGGCGATGTTTACACATTTGAGGCTGAGTCGACCTAGGGGAGGCCCAGGACCGGTTCAGACAATCGTCACTGGCGGTGGCCGTGAGCGGGAATCGAACCCGGGTCGTCAGGTTCGGAACGCAGCGCGGTAGCCGCTACACTATCACACAGACACAACAACAACAACAACAACCGCCATTCGCCACTAAGTGGCGGTGACGTCACCACGACGCTTGTGCCAGGCTATGTGCACCCTGAGGCCACGTGAAGTGTCGAACGCCCGCTGGCAGGAGGTCACGGGGCAGACCCAGGTGCCACGGGTCGACTGACTGAGATGACTGGCTGATGCACCACCTGTGCCCCCTACTGTGCCAACCTGCTGTGCTTTAGCCACCCGGCGCTCCGCTCGCTGTTGTGAGCGTCGCTCCTCCGCCCTCCGTTGTTGTTGGAGGGCGACTGCCTCCAACTGCCCAGTAGCATCCTTCACGAGCCTCCTCCACAGAGGCCGATCTTGACACCGCTGGTACCAGTCATCGGCAAGTCCACTCAGCTCCACGTCCTCCTGTACCACATCACTCCATCTCTTCTCTAGCCCGTGCCGCGCCCGCTTAGCCCCCTCAATCCGGCCAAACAAAAGCTGTTTCGGCATGCGGTGGCTGGGCATGCGGGCTACATGACCCAGCCATCGCAGCCTTGCCTGCCGGAGGAGCTCACCGATGGGACCCTGCCCAGATCTTTCAAGGATTTGTGAGCTCCTCACACAATCCAGTCTGGTTAAACCCAGGATGGATCGTAGGCAGGTCAGCCTAAATGTTTCTAACCGGCGAAGATGTTCCATTAGGGGGGTCCACGTTTCGCAAGCGTAGAGAAGGGAGGGAATGACCGTGGCCGAGAAGACCTGAAGCTTAGTGCGGAGCGACAGACCAGGTAGCTTCCACACAGCGTTACGCAACCGATGAAAAGATATTGCCGCTCGACTGATTCGGAGTGAGACCTCTGCTGTTAAACTGGAGCCAGTCATAAGCACACTGCCCAGGTATGGGAAACTCTCCACTCTCTCCACAACTGCCCCATCACCGATTGGGAGTTGTGGGGGTGGAGTGTCCGATGGTACAAAATACCCAGGCAGGTGCTTAGTTTTGGTGGGGCTGATGGTAAGGCCCCACCTCTTAGTGGCACGCTCCAGTCTCAGCAGCAGCGTCTCCAACTCCTCCTCTGACTGAGCAGCTATTACCAAGTCATCAGCATACATAACGTGGTTGAGCAATAGGGAGCCATCCCTTGACCGCACCCGGGCATCGATTAGCCTCCCATTATATCTGTACCATATGGAGATTCCCCCGGTACAGCTATTGAAGGCTTCACGAACTACGTGGTCAAAATAGATGTTAAATAATGTGGGAGCCAGAGGACATCCCTGTCGCACCCCAAGGTGTACAGGGAATGGCTCTGACTCCCGGCCACGTAGTTTTACCCGGGCCCGCTCACCATCATGAAGGTCCTTAATGATCGTGAGCAGAGGGTCAGGTACTCCAAAAGCACGAAGAACGACCCAGAGCCCAGGCCTACTGATGGTATCATAGGCCTTGACCAGGTCAATAAAGCAGAGATGTAGGTCTTGTTGGAATTCCCTACACCTCTGCTGTAGCAGACGGACAGAAAATATGGCATCTGTGCAGGACCGCCCTTTCCTGAAACCGCATTGGGGCTCCGCAAGCCTCTCCTCAGCGTGCCTGGCAAGGCGATGCTGAATAGTCCTTGCCAGGACCTTTCCCGGCACACTGAGGAGTGAGATGCCCCTGTAGTTGTTACAGTCTGTGCGGTCCCCCTTCTTAAAAAGGGGGACCACCAGGGCATCCTTCCAATCCTGCGGAACCCGTCCAGTGGTCCAGACTGTTGTTATGATGTCATATAGGGCAGTCTGTGCACAAACGCCACCCTCCCTCAGCATTTCGCTTGGGAGATCATCTCTGCCCGCTGCCTTTCCTGGTCTCAGACTCCGGATCGCCTTCAATACTTCCTCAGCAGATGGCACCTCAGCCAGCCACTCACAGGGGGTGACTTCATCCAATATTTGAGGCACCGCAGCCTCAGCAGGGTCATCCTCACTTTGTGCCACGATGTTTTCCTGGCTGTGGGATTTTCCCTCCCCCAGGACCTCACAGAAATGCTCAGCAAATCTGCGAACCTGTTCCTGGGGGTCGGAAATTGGATCACCGTTTTTTCCCCTAATGATGGTAATAGGTGTGGCGCTGCAGGTTACTTTTTTGATGGAGTTAAATAGCGATTTGTGATCACGGGCCACTGAGGCAGACTCCATCTCCTCAGCAACCCGCGACCACCACCCATCCTTGCAGCGCCTCACGGCTCTCCGAACCTCCGAGCGAAGGCTGCGGTAAGCCTCCTCATTCTCTGACGTGGGATTCTGTAGCCGATGACAGTGGGCCTGTCGCTTTTTCTCAACCATCCTGAACAACTCCTCTGTCATCCAGGGTGTCTGGGGAGGTCTGGACCGCGTACCCAAAGCAGCCATTGCAGCTGCATGAGTCACAGTCCTAAACCTCGCCCATTTACCCTCGACATCAGGAGGAGTCGGGGACGATGCCAATCCCAGCCGCAAGCGATGATGAAATTCTCGCTTGCAACTTTCATCAGATAACTGAGACCAGGCCACTTTAGGTTGGAATGGGGTCCTGGGTGTACACCCACCACCGGAGTGGAAGAATGGCAGGCGCATCTTACAGATGACTAGTCGATGGTCAGAGGGCAGATCAGCTCCACGGTAGGTCCTGGTGTCAAGGACATGGGCTCGCATTCGCTGGTCCGTCACTATGTAGTCCAGCAGATGTTCTTGCTTGGACCCGGCATGCATCCATGATGTTGTGTGGATGCGCCGATGCCGGAACAGCGTGTTGGTAATTACAAGCCCATGGGCTGCACAAAAATCTAGCAGCCTCCTACCGTTGTTATTGAGCTGATCTGGCCCATGCCCTCCAATCACTCCAGACCAGGTGCCAGTATCATGACCAACTCGGGCATTGAAGTCACCCAACATGATGACTCTATCCCGAGGGGCCACTTTAGCCAGCACCTGTGACAGGAGGTCATAGAAGGCATCTGACTCATCGGCTTTGCCTGCATCCCTCCACGGATGTTCATCTTCGGTGGGGGCATAAGTAACCACGACCACCATTCCTCGCCTCCGGTTGATGGGAAGGCGAGCCCAAAGTAGCCTGGGGCTTACAGCTTCCCACACCTCACCGCCACGCTCCCACGCCCCCTTCATTCTTTTGTTCAAAAGAAGACCCACACCCTGTTGTTTGGCAGTCTGCTGCCCCGAGTAGAGGACTGTCCACCCCTCATGGTGGCAGGAGCCAGAGCCGGTCCACCGGACACACACACACACAGACACACACACACAGACACACACACACAGACACACACAGACACACACACAGACACACACACACACACAGACACACACACACAGACACACACACACACACAGACACACACACACACACAGACACACATACACAGACACACGCACAGACACACAGACAGACACACACACACAGACACACACACACAGACACACACACAGACACACACAGACACACACACACACAGACACACACACACAGACACACGCACACACACACAGACACACACACACAGACACACGCACAGACACACAGACACACATACACACAGACACACACACACAGACACACATACACACACAGACACACAGACACACATACACACAGACACACAGACACACATACACACACACAGACACACATACACACACACACAGACACACATACACACAGACACAGACACACACACACAGACACACACACACAGACACACATACACAGACACACGCACAGACACACAGACAGACACACACACACACAGACACACACACACAGACACACAGACATACACACACAGACACACAGACACATACACACACAGACACACACACACAGACACACACACACAGACACACACACAGACACACACAGACACACACACACACACACAGACACACAGAGACACACACACACACACACAGACAGACACACACCGACGCACACACAGACACACACACACAGACACACACAGACAGACACACACACAGACACACAGACAGACAGACACACACACAGACACACAGACAGACACACACACAGACACACACACAGACACACAGACAGACACACACACACAGACACACACACAGACACACACACACACAGACACACACAGACACACACACACAGACAGACACACACAGACACACACCGACGCACACACAGACACACACACAGACAGACACACACACAGACACACACACAGACACACACACAGACACACACACAGACACACAGACACACACACAGACATACATACACAGACACACACAGACACACACAGTGATACACACACACAGATACACACAGACAGACAAACACACACAGACACACACAGACACACACACACAGACATACACACAGATACACACAGACACACAGACAGACACACACACACAGACACACACACGCGTGTTTGTGAACGCCTCACAAAACGTGCGCCACAAACCGCCCAAACGAACGCTAAGCGAGGCGTGAGCAAGAGCTTCCGCTTCGAGACGTCATAAACGGCACCACAGACGTTACACACGCGTACTCGCACACGCGTACTCGCACACACACACTCGTACTCACACGAGATCTTCCGTATCGCCTATTAACAGACTGCTGGGGATGGGTGGCCAACACCACGCCCGGCCGCCTTTGTCTCCCCAGCGCTGATGCTGTGCACACCGCACCAGGTACCCGTTTAAGGCTGAGTCGACCTAAGGGAGGCCCAGGACCGGTTCAGACAATCGTCGCTGGGTGTAGGCCGTGAGCGGGACGAACTCGGGTGGCCGGGTTCGTAGCGCAGTGCGCTAACCGCTGCACCACCGCTCCAAGAGCCGCCGTCCGCCACTGCTGCAGTTGTCATCACCACGGCGCTTGTGCCAGGCTAGGTGCACCTTTAGGCAAAAGACAAATATTGCTTGTATAGCCTTTAAAAGACTAGGGGAAAGTGCCGGCACACGATGGGGTGGGTGGCCAGCGCCACGCCCGGCCGCCTTTGTCTCCCCAGTGGCGATATTTACGCACCGCAGCAGGTACGGATTTGAGGCCGAGTCAACCTAGGGGAGGCCCAGGACCGGTTCAAATAATCGTCACCGGGCAAACGAACTCGGACCTCCGGGGTTTGCAGCGCAGCACGCTAACCACTGCGCCACCGCTCCCCAGGCACGGACACACGTGGGTGGATAAATCCAGAGTACGCATTGAGAATGTTAAAGTTTTAGCTAAGCGCGCGTGCGATAATAAACATGCCGTTTCGCACACGTGACCGAAACAACTTAACAACCCGTTATATAAACAACACGGATACGTTGGACACCCAGCCACTGATAAGCCGCTCCGTTGAGCCATCATTAGCGGGCCGGGTCGCTTCTGAAAAATAAGCTCAGTGGGGGTCTTACCCCGGTAAAAAAAAAACAAAGTTTAAATAGCTTTAGTTTAAACTAACTCCCTCCCCATCATCCCCCGCTAACCCCCTCCCATCATCCCCCGCTAACCCCCTCCCATCACCCCCCGCACACCCAGACCGAGACCAACATTCCCTGGCCACCTCCAAGGGCATCCAAACGCGCGCGTCGCACCGCCCGCCTGCATGTCGGGACGCCTCCGGAGGCAGATGCCAGAAGGCGACCCTCGCCGCAGGCGGCGGCGGGGGTCCAACCCGGGGTGGGGGGCACGGGAGGAGGATGACGGCAACGCGATGACAGTCGCGGGCAGCACCACGAGCACGCGAGCCATGGCGGAGTCACTGCGGCGCCTCGCCAACAGCGGTGCGTACGGAGCCCTGCAGGACAGGTTGGACTCCTGGCAAGACGACTTCCACGTGAGCCTCGAAGCGCGCTTGGTTGGTTGTGGTGGGGTGAGGTGACGGGCTGCCGCGTGTCGCGATCGGGTCGCGACGTCTCCTCCGCGGCATTGTCGAGGGCGCGCTCCACTTCCCGAGCTGACGATCCGTTTTCTTTCTCGACCCACCGGCGTTCTTCCTCCTCCTCTTCCTCCTCTTCCTCCTCCTCTTCCTCCTCCTCTTCCTCCTCTTCCTCATCCTCTTCCTCCTCTTCCTCCTCCTCTTCCTCCTCCTCTTCTTCCTCTTCCTCCTCCTCTTCCTCCTCCTTTTCCTCCTCCTCCTCCTCCTCCTCTTCCTCCTCCTCCTCTTCCTCCTCCTCGCGACGTTGTTTTGGGCACTTGAGGGTGTTGAAGTTGGAACGATGTCACGCACCTCCTGCCTACGTTCTCTAATCCGCGTGTTCCTCTCGTTCTCGTTCTCTGTCTGTCGCGGTGAAATTCCAAGGATGCAGCATCTCCCGGTTCTTAGTCGTGCACTTTGCAAGTCTTTGTTCGAGATGTTTAACACGTAGGAGGCTTTCGCGACCAATATCCATAATATCGATTTTTTTTTGGGTTAGATCGCGTAAATATGTGTCGTTAAACCCGCCACCCCAGGATACAGCCAATTAGTAAGTACTCAGTAGTACAAATCGAACTCAGATTGTAAATGTTATGGATTTGCTCTCCAACACATCGGTGTGTTGTATTAGGAACGAATTGGCACGTTCTGTTCACGTGACAAATCTTAATAATTGGCTGTGTCGTGTGGTGGCGGGTTTCACGACGCATTCATGTTTACGCTGTTTAACAAAAAAAACCGATATTACGTTTGTTCGAGATCTTATATGAACGACCGTGTTTCTGAAACCATGTCTGATATCAGGCAGTACACGCACAGATTACACAATTTATTCTCGAGGCACATTGGAATGGTTCTTTTTCACTGGTAGAAAAAGGTTTGCCCCCTCATTCAAGTTCTTAAATTGTAAAAAAAATCAAACAAACCGATTTAAATTAAAGTACTGTATCAGGCAGTGGTAATGGCACGTGTAGTTACTCTCCATATGTCATGATGCCTACAGCAGAAAAGCCAAATACAATCCACCGACTTACAGGATTGGAATTATTGCACCAGTTAACTGGGCATTCATTTGGCAAGCTCTACCTACCAGGAGTTGAGTTTTTCTTGCTCTGCACAACTTTGCCACCAGCTGATTGTGCAGCTGAGATTTAAGTCTCGCCGAGAAAATGCCCAATTGCCTCGTGGCCCAGTCAATCTCTGCCGACTTACACCTTCGGAATGACTATAGTAAGTGTGCTTGTGCATCGAGCCGAACGGCAAGTGACAGTTGTTTTGCGACATGACTTGGCATGTCCTTACGCGTGTTGTGCTGTCCGCAGGCCAACAGCAGCAATGAAAATTTGAGCCACTGCTGCGAGCTCATCGAGAGGACCTCAAAGGTGCAGAATCAGCTTTTGAACATGATGAGCAATAAGACCAACCAAGGTATGGGTAGCCCAGAGTCCAGCAAGCTGCCAATAGCACAGCTAATAACCACACAGCCAACACCCACACACAAACTGCCCCAGCAAGCACCCAGTTATAGGGGGCATGTATTCAGTACTGAAGGGATGCTGGCATACAGAATTTTCAATACAGTGGTCACCGGTTTCATTCGCCAGCATGGTAGTTGAAACAATGGGTGCGTTTCTATGACACCCCTACCTCTGTCCATCAAACATGTTAAATCGGTATTTTGTGTATCACAATTTGTCAATCACACGAACCTGTGGTCTGGTCGTGTGAATACTCCCAACTCTGTACAAGACTTCTTACCAGCATTAAAGAGGAGACTACATTTTCTCTAGCAGGGTTCATTATAGCTCCATCTAGAGGAGGCCCTTCTACCAGCAGTGGGTTGAGCAAGAAACTGCAGGACTGCACTGTTATTAATCAGCCCACAAATTAAAATATGTTGGACATTACTCACTTGCCAATGTTGCCCAGGGTTTCTTAACCTCCACTATTCACCTTCGTGCTACATTTTATAGGTGCAATAAACAAATGTATGCAATGAACCACCGTCTCAATTTACATTTGGAGAATATTCATGACCATTGAAAGATTGACTGTAGGACTGAACAAGCATTGGCTTTTGGACACTCCGATTATGTAGCCATAACCCACGCCGTTGGAGTCAGGACATAGCCAGAAGCTAGCTGAACGGGTGATACGTAGCAATTGACCAAAAACGAGAAATCACCATGTACATTGCCTGCGGACTAGTCGTGCGGATCCCCTACTCGCAGAGCACACCATATCCCGGGTTGTTGGCGGTGCCCCACACCTCTCCATGTGGAAGAACACTGTGAAGCCAACACGGAGCCTCTCTCGCTCTCCTAGGTGGGCCCACCGCCAGCGCCAAGTCACGTCTCCTGCCCTTGCAGAGCAGCGTCGCCGTCTCCCCGTGCGTATCGCCCAACGCCAGCCTCACCCTCATCAGGGTACTTGTCACGAGCTTGTCCACCATCTCTCGCGTTGTGGACACAAATGTCTGCTTGGCTGGGGAGGGCGGTTGGCCGCACGGTTGTGGCGTGAAAACGCACCCCACTCGGAGACGCAAAGGGTGTTAAAGTACTTTGTAGAGCAATGATGGTCATCTTCATATGAAAGGAAAACCCACTATCAATTTCACGCATGCAAAGCCATAGATCCCCATATAACCTTTGACAGACTGTTGGAAAAAGTGCTGTTAGCGAGCACTGATGAAGGCCGGCACGGCATACGAGGGGGTGGGTGGCAGCCACCATGCCCGGCTGCCTTTGTCTTCCCAGTGCTGATATGTTCACACACCGCAATAGGTACCCATTTTAGTCCAAGTCGACCTTGGGGAAGCCCAGTACCGGTTCAGATTTTGGTCGTGAACTAGAAACAAACTTGTCACCAGGGTTAACCACTGCACTGCAGCTTCCCACGAAAGTACACACGTACACACACACACACACACCGCCTACCCCTTCACACCCACTCTGTCCACCGTCTTTTCATTGGCCCATCTGGCAGAGTCCTGGCCCTGTACAAGGCCCAATGCGCCGTCACAGGCGGTGCTGCGTGTATGTTACCCACAAGTCCCAAAGCAGTGGCTGCAAGCAGCTTGGTCGGCTTGGGTGTTCGTTCACTCCTGGCTCTGGAGCACCCCCAGCTCCCATCCTCTCAGCTGCACCTCCTGGGGATCACGCAGTTGCACGCTAGAACCTTCCCAGGCAGTCCCACGGAGGCCTGTTTCTGGCGTTACAATCTTGCCTCAACTACACAGGAGCTGGGTCTCTTTATACTGCAGAGGCCAGACCATTCAACCAATGGGGTTTCTTGATAACCTGTGCACCTAAATTATTTTATCTGTGCTCCCAATCCATATAAGCCCCCTCCCAATCAACCAAAGTACAGGTGGTATTCTTTTTTGATAATCCCTCTCATGACTGAATATCCTTCACAACCAGTCTCAAAACCAATTCTCACTGTGCATGGCCAAACTGCTGCATTCATCAAGTGGGGGAGGAAACGACCAAATTCACCCTTGGACTACTTCCCACCAACTCATTTTCACCTATGCTGCCCATCACCACACTGGTAACCTTTAGCCACTAAACCTACCTCTACCAATATTACTACCAAAATTATGAAAGTAAGGGAAAGATAAAAAAACCAGGCTGGCTAGGGTAGGAATTGAACCACCAAGCCCAGGGCATTTATGCTTCTGTCGCAGTCCAAATCTCCTTTATCAACTCCACTTGTGTCCCAGACCCATGCATCGAATGGTCTCGGGTTTGCCTCGTACCATGTCGCAATACCCCACGGCTGTAAAAAACTGTGGCGGAATTTGTGAAGAAGCAACTTTTTTCCACAGAGCAGAGAAGTAAAAAAATGCTGTACCACCTGCACCCACTCGATAGCTAACGCCATTGCTTCTGAGCTTTATCACTCGGTTGCCACCTGTCTGGGCTTACGGGATGGAGGGTTTGACCAGGACAGTCCGCAAATTGCCAGGATTTAGCTTGTGCCAAGATCTGGTGATATTGTGTTGATCTTTCTGACTGAACTTTGCAGTTTTGATTGACCTAGGCTGACAAAGATATATGTGTGGGTTTAGTCTAAAGCGGAAAAGGTGGCAACCCCCTAGTCACAGTTGTCTTGCCCAATTTTGGATGGTGAAATGCTCGAGCAGCAGCTCACTTTCCACTTGCTGCAGAGGTTCGTGGTTGAAGTCGCACGGCCGCCCTGGTTAATACTGCAGATGTATAAACCAAAAATACACGACCTCTGCTTCACAGTGGACATTCCACAACCTGCGATGTTTATTCATAATAGAGTATGCCACGTGTCCCGGTGTCACGGTCCCAATTTTACCAAATCTAAAAATTGTTCGCAGATTACCCAATCGTTAACCATGAATCTACTGCATATTTACTCATGTGCGAAACATAGCTCCTTCGCGACAGCCTTGCGCCCTAAAGAAATGGTGCAAATGCCAAATGCACCAATGCTCCGATTCGCCTTGACTAAGTCACCCAACACGCGAGCGTCTCGTGTTCAGGAGACGGCGCAGAAGGAGCGGCAGCTGCAAGACCTGTGTGCGCGCCACGTGCGGGAGGTGGGGTCACTCGAGTCGGAACTGCGATCTACGCGCCAGTCGCTGAGCAACGCCAAGCAGCGGTGGGTGGTGGTGCATGCACCCTGATACCTAAAAATAAATAAAAATGTAACGATTATTTCGACGTAGCTGTCGTCGTTCACGCAAGTTGCATCTTGCGGTCACCGAGGAATGGCGGATAAGCTGGAGTGCTGCCGGGTGGTGAGCCGGTGCCAACAACTGCTGTGGAGTTCTCTATTTATTAAGATGTTTTCAGGCAAGTAGTAGGTGTTTATGTTTTCTCTAAGTGCTCTGGCTGCCTCCCACATGTAAAACACTTTTTAAAGAGTACATTTCTCTTGAGTTTTTTCTGCTAGAAGCAATGCCTCAAAGCAATGCAATAACTTATCAGGAAAGGCAACACTTTTAAATTCAAAATAGTGTATTCTTTTAGATACAATGGATTTTGACTGTGTGTTGGGACAGGTTGTACGAGTACACACATGTACAGCTCCTTGTCAGTCCACTGCTGAATGAGGCCCTCTCCTACCGTCCGTGAATGAGGGTTTTCCCCATGCCAACATTTTCTATTCCAGCTTGAAAGACATGGCCGACGAGCTCGAAGCCTCAAAGGCCAATTCAGCCTCCACCTACCTGGCGTCTGAGGAGGAGATCCTTCAGCTGAGGGCGGAGTAAGGGCCTCTCGGCGCACACTGACGGACAGGAATATGCGGCTCTGTCGGCTACTGGAGGCTTCGTCTGTACCAAATGCTCACTCAACATTGAACTGTCGATCACCTCCGCTGTTAACGCATGCACAGCTCCAGATTGAGTGTCGGAGCCAAAACGATATGTTTGGACCCTTGCCCCAATCCTGGGAGATGTATGCCACTCAGCTCTTGTGAAGGAGGAGGGAAGCCTAGCAATCAGGCAGAAGGTCACTGCATCTGGAAGAGTCGATTACTTTTCAGCTCTTGAAAATGTTTTTGTTTCATTTGGATATAAATGACTTAAAAATATGGCAAACGTGCATTGTTGGCGGCACAAATGGCCAACTCTTTTTTAAATAAGGTCACTGAGATCTTTAACGTTTTCTTTGAAGCAGACGACGTTTTATTTTATTTTATTATCAACACACCCCATATGCAGCATTAGGCAGGTCAGTCGCTAGGCTGTAACCGCAAACCTCTGCAACATGCAATGTACCGTGTCACGTTTACCGTGAACGCGCGTGCGCGAGTGCGTGTGTGCGTGTGTACGTGTGCGACAGGGATGTCCTCTGGCTCCCACATTATTTAACATCTATTTTGACCACGTAGTTCGTGAAGCCTTCAATAGCTGTACCGGGGGAATCTCTATATGGTACAGATATAATGGGAGGCTGATCGATGCCCGGGTGCGGTCAAGGGATGGCTCCCTATTGCTCAACCACGTTATGTATGCCGATGATTTGGTGATAGCTGCTCATTCAGAGGAGGAGTTGGAGACGCTGCTGCTGAGACTGGAGTGTGCCACTAAGAGATGGGGCCTTACCATCAGCGCCACCAAAACTAAGCACCTGCCTGGGTATTTTGTACCATCGGACACTCCACCCCCACAACTCCCAATCGGTGATGGGGCAGTTGTGGAGAGAGTGGAGAGTTTCCCATACCTGGGCAGTGTGCTTATGACCGGCTCCAGTTTAACAGCAGAGGTCTCACTCCGAATCAGTCGAGCGGCAATATCTTTTCATCGGTTGCGTAACGCTGTGTGGAAGCTACCTGGTCTGTCGCTCCGCACTAAGCTTCAGGTCTTCTCGGCCACGGTCATTCCCTCCCTTCTCTACGCTTGCGAAACGTGGACCCCCCTAATGGAACATCTTAGCCGGTTAGAAACATTTAGGCTAGTCTGCCTACAACCCATCTTGGGTTTAACCAGGCTGGATTGTGTGAGCTCACAAATCCTTGAAAGATCAGGGCAAGGTCCCATCGGTGAGCTCCTCCGGCAGGCAAGGCTGCGTTGGCTGGGTCATGTAGCCCGCATGCCCAGCCACCACATGCCGAAACAGCTTTTGTTCGGCCGGATCGAGGGGGTTAAACGGGCGCGGCACGGGCTAGAGAAGAGATGGAGTGATGTGGTACAGGAGGACGTGGAGCTGAGTGGACTTGCCGATGACTGGTACCAGCGGTGTCAAGATCGGCCTCTGTGGAGGAGGCTCGTGAAGGATGCTACTGGGCAGTTGGAGGCAGTTGCCCTCCAACAATAACGGAGGGTGGAGGAGCGACGCTCATAACAACGAGCGGAGCGCCGGGTGGCTAGAGCACAGCAGATTGGCACAGTAGGGGGCACAGGTGGTGCATCAGCCAGTCATCTCAGTCATCTCAGTCAGTGGACCCGTGGCACCTGGGTCTGCCCCGTGACCTGCCAGCAGGCGTTCGACACTTCACGTGGCCTCAAGGTGCACATGGCCTGGCACAAGCGTCGTGGTGACGTCACCGCCACTTAGTAGCGAATGGCGGTTGTTGTGTACGTGTGTGCGTGTGTGTGCGCGTGTGCGTGCGTGCGTCAGCCTGCAAGCGGCGCGCGAGGAGGCCGAGGTGAACCGTCGCGAGCGCGAGGACAGCGAGAGGCAGGCGCGGTACCTGCAGGCCGAGATGGCGACGCTGCAGCAGGAGAAGGCTCGCCTGCTGGAGCGCATGTCGTACGTGCAGCGCGCTGCGTCCATCGCGCTCCCCCTTCTCTCTCTCTCTGGCTCCTCACGCTCTGCCCCCACTGTCGGTCATGTTCACGAACACGTTTTTATTTTTATTTTACTCGGCAACGAATATTAGTGGGCAAAAAAATCATCCAGTATGTGACGATGACTACGACTGCAACAAATACCTAAGCGTGATTGGCTACGATGAGACAAAATTACTGAGTGAATGAAGATGCAGACTAAGATAATGTAGTAACGTCATTGAACATTGCAGTGCACTGAGGAATACCAAAAATGGTAGTTGGCTATATCAACGACTTACTGAGTTCACTGATTGGCTGACTTGATACTATTTGGAGGGTGGGTAGGGTGTGGGGAATTTCAGAATCATTATTTAGACTACAGGAGGAGGAATCTGATGAGCTATGAAGCTCTTTTTCACAGATGCCCAGTAGGGGGTGGGCCGTCAACACCAGCATATAGCAACTAAGAGTGGGACTACATGTCTGACTGAGCTAGTTTATTAGACCAAAAGAATGACGAGATTAAATTCCCAGACTGAGACCTGACAAACATCCCACAAGTTGTCCTCGGCTAAACGAAGTCTATGACTGACGTAAGAAAATATTGACTCAATCACCACTGGTTCTCCCCACTTGCGAACATACAGTTACTGGACATTGGTACAGATATGTAACATAGAACAATGGGAGCTGATAATTATACTTAATACTATGCATTGAGGGGGTACCATCACTCGATTTTAACACTGCTACGGTACAATGTCGCATATCCGACCGTCAGTTATCCGCCCGGACCAATTAACCACCGCCACCCAGTGACGTAATTGTGTACGGTGTACCTGCCATGTTCTATTTATGTTCACAATTCCCACCCAATAGCTTACAGTAATCTTTCTTTTTGTCAAGCAACCTGTGTGGTGTAACTGTCATTTTCTATAGATGTTCACATATTTCACCACGTTAAATATTTTCCTATCCCATCAGTCCGCAGCAAGTCAGATATGCAACGTTGCATTGTAACGATTTTGTGTCTCTCTCCATGTATGTCCATCCTTATGTGCTTAATGTGTATGCGCATTATCTTGTACAATCAACTCCACCTGAAGCAACATTCATGAGAACGCAGCACAATACCATTATAAGTGGAGTATCCTTATAATCGGAAGTGCTCTAATTACACATACGTTTATAGCCTAGGATTATTAAGATATGACGTAGCTCAGGGGTCGGCAATCTGCAGTTCCAGAGCCGCGTGCGGTGACTTTTTAAGGAACTGCTTCGTGACAGTTATTCAGGACCACAGTCTCGTATTCACCACACAGTGCATTGCAGCTCTTGAAATATTGAGTTTTTTTTACCGAATTCGAAAAAAATGCTCTTCTTGGTATTTTGGTTGCTGGCCCCTGGCCTAGCGCGATGTAATGGTGGCTCCCTGAATAGACCGGGTTGCCAGCTTGTATTAATTACCATTGCTGGATACTGCGGAGTTGAGAATAAATTATGCACGGTCTCCACTGACTAGGAAACTACAGAGTACAGATGCTACCTTGTTTTATCTGACGTGATGGGACTGGGCTGATGATCCGTGCAAAAGGATGTATTGTTTGAACGGACTCTCAGCTGGTAAATTAAGGGTGACTGAACCGACGTTAAGAAGAAAGATTGCACGTATAATGCTGAGTAGTTGTGCAAGTGTCGCGTCAAAACAAAGAGTGTTTACACTTATGGTGGCCCACAGGGTAGTGCTCCAGGTGTTTGCCGTTGTTAAGTGCTGAACGCCAGCTGTTCCCAGGACGTCACTATCACATGAGGTTAATGTGTTGACCACAGAAACCTTTCACACTGGTGCGGGGGTAGGAGAACGGTGAATATTAATGGGGGGGGGGGGTGGATGGGCCACATGTGGTAATTCGTGTTCGATGCCTGGTTCAAATAAAAAAAAAGCCAATTGAAAATGTCAAGTAAAAAAGTAAAAGAATCACCAAAAAAGACAAACAAAAATGTTCCGTCCTCATTTTGTTGTTTTGCCGTTGTTCAAGGGGATGGCTCTCGATGCCTTGCCACGAGCGCAGCGCTCAGCCTCGCCGCAGGGCGTCTCCGACTCCCAGCTCCTCTCCACCTCGCTGGGCCCCTCCAGTCCGCAGCTCCTCCCTGCTTCGCAACCACATGGCGACGTGCCCGCGCCACTCCGTCGCTTCGCGCCACGCCCACCTGCCGCTTCGTTTCAAGTCCGCCTCAAGAGACGGCCGTTTCGACGCGCGGAGCCCTCCGCCGCTGCCGCGACACCGCAGCGACGCGTAGACCCCACAGCGTGTCGCCTTCGTTGCCACCGTTGTGCGTGCGCTGTTCTCGTCACCCCTGTTGTAACGGCGGAGCTCCGGTCGACGCGTCGCGTTCATCGCACTGTGCTGCCGCACGCTCGTCCGTCGTGGGCATTTCACAGAATTGTACCCGGAAAACAGTGAAATGCGTCGAAGGCAGTGGTGGCGTATGCAGCCGATTCTATGACGTCAAATAAACTCAACTAACCCACTCTCCGGTCTTGCACCCGTTTTGCGCAGCGAGTGTCTCTTCCTCCGAGCGCGCTCTCTGTTCCCCGAGAGCGCCCTTGCTCCCACGGTCGCACTCCCCGCTGTCCCTCCCTCGCCTCCTCACTCGTGCTGCCATGAACGCTGAGCCTGCCCCGTTCCTCGTTGGAGCGCCAAACTCTGCCCCGCTGTTCAACTGCCACCCGACTCCACCTCCCCGCTCCTCATCCCTTCCTCTCTCCTCTGTTCCCCTGCACTTGCCCCTGCCCTAATCCCCTCTGATGTCCAAGACGTCGGACACCGTCGGACGTAATGTCGAACGTGAAAACAAATCAAAGTGCCATACGGCGCAACCGTAAACACCTGCGCTGCAGTCTAATTTTCAGTCCCAGTGGAAGCTGTGGCGACACAGTGGGCGTTGGAAATTAAATCTCCGCCTTTCGCAGTCTTTTGCGATCTGCACAACATCTGCGGCCTACCTCCCTGTCCAAGACACTAAGTCCGTCATCCGTTTGGTCCTTGGTTGACCTCTCTTCCTCGTCCCTTTGACCGAGACTTGCAGGATGGTGTTGGAAGGTTTTTTTTCTCTCTCTCGAATGCGAGTGACAGAGCAAAGCACAGCAGCTTCCTCTCTCTTCTTTATTGCCAGTTGTGGTTCGTGTAATTTGTACGCTGGGCAGTGGGTGAAATCTGAAGCAGTCATTGGAAGCACTACATCTCAAAAGCCTGGATTAGCTTGTATTTGAATCGGATATTTTTGTTTTCAGTAGGTTTAAAAAAATCGAGAGTCGAATGTGCATTCTTCAAGTAAATGCATTCATTTTGTATTTACTGAATGGATAGATGTGGAGAGTTGTTGCTTTCCAAGCTGAAAGCTGCCTGGACATTGAGAGCGATGATGACGATGATGTTGACGACGATGCGGCTGATTGTCCGGAAGTCATCACCACCAGGGGTGCTTTTGCAACCACACCTGGGCATCACTTCCTTCTGCTTCCTCTCGTACCTGTTGCAAAGGCAACAGGGGCCGTCCATAAATGACGTCACTCGATTTTTGACGATTTTTGACCCCCCCCCACCCCCTCGTCACACGGCGTCACAAAAAAGTAAGACCCCCCCTCAAATATGACGTCACAAATCTCTGCCCCCCCCCCCCAATTTTTTTTTTAAACATGCTTCAAATCGCTTTAAACTATTGTCATTGTAGTGCGTATTTAATGTGGCGCTGCACTCTGATGTTGTAGGAGAAAACATTTATTAAACAGTCTATTTAATTAAGTAGAACGTGTTGTCTATATTTATTTAAAGTTGTGCATTTTGACGTGACGTCACATTTCCCAACCCCCCCCCCCTCGTCACACATCGTCACAAATGTCTGACCCCCCCCCCCCGTCATTTATGGAGGGCCCCACGACACCCAACCTTCCAGTGTCCATTCTAACAGCATCCCAAAGATAACATTCAAGCGTTACGTTATTAAGAATACCTCCATGAAAAATTCCGTACGAGATGATCAGTTAATTTAAATTTTAAACACTAGATCACGAGAACAATTTTCAAGAGCGCTAAGTGGATGAACAAACAATCATAGAAATGGATGTATGAATTCATTGAGAAATGAATGGATAGAGAGTTGGGTGTATAGCCACACTAATATAGATGCCTTAATGGGTGTATTCGTGGAAATACATCTGGATGAGTGGATGTATTGATGGATGATCAAATAGCCGTATGGATGAATCGCTAGCTTCAGACAGCATTGTAGATCACCGCGCCACCGCTCCAATAGACAGATTGCCTCGTCACAGATGCAAAACTTTACCCGGGCAGTTAGCGTGAGTGACAAAGCGCTCATTGAACACATTTAGGGACGTAATCGAGAATTCGGATAACGATATTTGAGCACTTTGGTAGCAAAACAGAATAGCGATGGGACGCAGGCAACACGCGTTGTGACAAATTGTACAAACATTTGCCCGCACGGGGCTTCCCGCGTGCTCAACAGGCGCAAATATTGTCTCTCAGTAAGTGGCACATGTTTATATAGAGAAGACTGGCTCCAAGGCACTACTCAAACTACGAACACGGTGGAAGGGCGATCGCGCAATGAAGATTTTCAACGCGCCGTGCCTGCAGAAAAGGTAAGGTCTTAGTAATCGCTCATCCAGGTGTGGCCGACATGCATGTGCCTCTTTAAACAATAGCAGTTAATATAATAATGAATGATGGTTTTACAGAACCATGTCAATCTACTTTTGAAAGAGGGAACCTCTACTCAGTGTTTGTCATGGGGGGTTGTTTGACCATACTTCACCATGTTGGTAGTGCAGGTTTATGAAGTGTTGCTCGCGGCGGGGGGGGGGGAGAGCCCACCCAATGATGTTAGCCGTGGTTGGGAATCGACCTTACGTTGCTGGCTTCAACGCGCGGTGCGTTAATAATCAAACGTGCCATCGGTCTACTTTTGCATTCATTATAATGATTTTTGGAAAATATTAATGGATGTAAATCCTGCATGTCTACATGTGTATGTTATTATTTATATGCTAAAGATAATAACTAGTGTCGAATGAGCCATGAGAAATATCATAGTCATGTAAAATATAATTGAGAGTATTTTAATGCTGTAGATCAGTATTAATAAAATCTAAGGTTTGAAAATACTGCCAAAATGTTAGTTACCCTTGCTGCTGATTATTATGGTTACAGATGACAATAACGATGGGTGAATGTTAGCTGACAATGCCAAGTCAACCCTGGCTAGGATGTGAATTGTGAACTCATCAATGGAAGCCCCTGCAGCTCCACCAACAGACCTGCAACCATGACATTGCCTAACATTTAAGCCACCACCACCATCCACACACCCCCTTTGCATTGCTCCACGGGAAGCCCTGCAGGGCCCACGGACTCAGCAAAGGAGACGATTGCCTTTTCCTCCTCCACGAGTCTTCACGGGGTGGCACGGGCAACTTCCGCGCAGAGCCGGGCACAGAGGGCCTTCTGGATGATGGTGGTGGTGGCGGGCGTGGCCATGGCGGGGTGGCAGGTGGCTCTGCGTCTCGCCGCCTACTACGCCTGGCCCACGAGCACCTCGCTCACGCTGCACTACGTGCGGGACCTCTCCTTCCCCGCCGTCACCTTCTGCAACTACAATCGGTGATGACGGGGCGCGATGAACACCCGTGTCATCCATCACAAGTGTACCCCCGGCACGTCCGTGACGTGCGTCCGTGCGTGCTCACTCCGCTTCAGTATTGGTTCCGTAGCTCGCAATACGTGCATCATATCATTTGAGTAAGATTATATTTTTTATTATTTTATTGTTTCCCTTCTACGTGACTTTACAGAAAGAACCAAGAATATAAGATTACACTTTTTTTTATTGTCTCTCTCCTATGTAATATGTTTAAATGACCTCGGCAACTGCTGGACGTTGCTTCGTTCAGCTCAATGTGAAATACATTATCCTTGTATTGAATCACAAACATTGAATCATGGCAATTCACACAGTCGCCAAATTGGGTAAACATTACCCCCTGCCATATATACACGTACTGTGAATCCATCTTTGTATCTACCCATTTATCCAAACATCCATCTATACAACTGTCCAATTATCAGTCTCCTAATCCATCCATTCATCGACCAATCCATTCATCAAAGATGAGCAGCTGATGAAAGCCACGCGAGTTGTGATGCTGCTGCAGATTCTGGAGGACGGTGGATGGATTTTGTATGGGTGATGGATTATTGCTGAGTTAGTGATAATGGATGGGTGGATGACGGGTTTGGTGAATGACCGGTTGATGGATAAGTGATGGCTCGTTGATAGATGGGTGGGTGGTGCGATGGCTGGGTGATTATGCGTGGGTGATTGCTGAGTGACGGGGGGTGTTGATCGACGTTCCATTAATGGGATGGATGGGTGGAAGCGTAGTGATGATGACGACAGTGACAACAACGATGACGACAACGTGAACGGTGACAATGACAGCAAACGACGACGGCGATAATGGCAACGTGAACCACGACGAAGACAATGACGCCAAACACCGAAGACGCGGCCTGTGCGTGACAGGTATCGCCGCAGCTCTTTGCACGGAACCACGGATCTGCTGGCCGCTCTCAGCATCCTGTCGGCCGGCATTGTCGACGAGTGGCCAGAGGAGGTGGGGGACGAGGTGCGCCGCTTCTGGGATGAAAACCTCAACTTCAGCACGCGCACCTTCACGCGCAAGCACGGATTTCAGCTCAACTCAGCCTCGCTGCTCGAGTGCAACTTTAACTCCAGGCCTTGTGGACCTCAGGTGGCCAAGTCCGGCTTCAGCGCTTGTGGTTCAGATGGCAGATGCCCCCTCCCCCCTCGGCCCCCCCCCCCCGGCCCCCCCCCCCGGCCCCCCCGCGAGCGCGTGTCACGATGCACAGTGAAGGCGTTCGCCGTTGTCTCAGAGCCATCGCACACGTGGCTGGGATGGCTGAGCCGTCAGTGTGCTGAGCTGGCACCGCTGAGGACCTGGGTTTGACTCCGGATAGCCGCCTGTGGTTGAACCGGGTTCTATCGTAGTCATGTTGATTCTGCACTTTCTTTGTATAGATTACAGCTCTCCGAAATGATTGGTTTTACTGTCACGCTCGGAACATTACACTCTGTAGCAGGGGGTGAGAAAAGTGCTGTCTGCTACTGGGCGGAACAGCGGTCACTTGAAGCGATCTCAAAAGTACTGGACACTTGTGAAAAAAGAGCTTTATAGCTCATCGGATTCCACCAGTATACATATTTTGATTCTGAGTAGCTCTGTGATATCATTTTCTATTGACTGTTCTCTAAAATCTTATTGGACACTTGTGTCTCGTGACATTATACTGATCGCACAATCGGGATAGAATTGGAAAAAAATCTAAGAAACAACGTGTCTTCTTGACCCTGAGCCAGCGGTCAATTAAATTCTATACAGTACAAATAATTGAGCTCAAATGCAGTGAAGAGCATCAGGATAAATTCAAAAATTAATGAACGCTCACCAGAGGAAATAATGAATTAGGTATAGATAATTTTATTCATAACCAGGTAAGAGCCCATTACAATAAGGTGATTAATTTTCAAGGAAGCCCTGATGTTCAGCAGACATTTGTTTACGGAAACCAACAGGGCTTCATTTCAGCTGGGTCTATCCGGCGCAGTCACCTGTGAAATGTTTCAACACGCTGCAGCACACCACATCCAGAATACCTCTCGCTCTGGCTGTGGCAAATAACTTTACGTGCCTACTCCAGTCCACCGATAACTCAAACATATTCAGCGAGAAATCAAGATCTGAGTACCACTATTCTGGAAATTGATGATACGTGAAAAACAGCCTTCATATAATCGTCATCATCATCACCATGAGTTTAGCATAATGCACGTTAGCAAGTCAATTAAGCGATCTTGTATTTTGTTAGGAGGTTGAACTATGCCATAAGAAACAAAACATTGGTTTCATGGTTTTTCAGTTATTGTGAAAACTCGTGCAGTATGTTCGGACGGACGGACAATTTTTTTATACACATTTAGCGACAAGCGGTCTTTGCACTTGCTTAAAATCGTAAAAAAACGCGTTCATGTCACTGCCCAAACCCAACTGACGGCACACCACCCCACAGGATTTCCAGCACGTGTTCACAGAATACGGCAATTGCTACACATTCAACGGCGGCTTCAGTGAAGAACAAAGATCGCTCAAGCAGAAGACAGCCGGAGCTGGGAAAGGCCTCCAAGTCCTTTTTGATGTGCAGCAGGTGACCGCAAACTTGAGTGGTGCCATCATCAGAAGTTTCATTATCATCATCATCATCATAATTTTCAGTGGGTTTTCATCAGTAGTGGTTGTTCATCGAATGATGCTGGGTGGTCTGATGTTATAGGCAACCCAGTAGCAAGTTCATCATCATCATCATCATCCATGATCTATCCACTGCTGTATTCTGGGCTCCCCAAGCTGCCACCATCTCTCACGACTCATAAAATCAGGCAACACACCACTGATTACATTCAGAAATCCCATTTGGTAATAAACTACAATGTTACTTTAACTGAATGTAGTGAAAGATACCCTAACTTGTTTATTATATACATCTGTGTAAATAAATAATTACTGGTACTCGGTGAAGGTGTGCATAATGAAAAATATATAAACATATTTTTGGCATGCTTCTTTTTCAAGAAAATCCGGGTAAAAACAAGAACGATTTAAACAATTATAAATTGCAGCAATTAAAACATGCAAAATTATTCATATTGGAGTGAAAGAATCAACTGGCTTATGACGTCTGTCATCACAAATATGTGCTTCACTCTGATTGCAGCCCTTATACCGACATATAAACTTTCCACTGTACAGGTGTCACCATATTGCAGCTCTAATATAACGTTAATTCAGAACTTTCTTCACAACATCAGATAACAAAACAATATCGAATAGCTCACTGCTGTTCTAATATCCATTTGTGCAAGGGCGTTGGCCATCCTTGATCATAGCAAACATCTGCCATATAGTGGAAACGTGTGGAAAAACATTGCGCATAAAGTACTAGTAGGGTCATGTCCCATTCACCATGCATTTTTTTTATTGCCTCGACATAAGAGATGTTAACTTCCTCGCCTGGTATACAGGATGTCGTGGGGTTTGATCCCGACCCTGATGCCTGTGTATTTGGAGTTTGCATGTTCTCCCCGTGGTTGCGTGGATTTTTCTCCGAGTCCTCTGGGTTTTCCCTCCACATTTTGAAAAAGCGTTTGGAGTATTCGGCTGCTATACATTTCCACGTGATAATCCACTTCATGTGGCTGTCATTTGTGGCCAGGTCGCTTCTGAACAGAGCGATATAGCTCAGTAGGCCTTACCTGCTAAAATAAAAACAAAATGTGCTTATCTAAGTCATAGTTTATAGCTCACGTTATTATTGAAAGCGTCTTCGCTCTCACGTGTCGTGATTGTGCACTCATCACGGGAGTGTGCTGTGTTAATTGCGAGGCGTGCAGTGGGACTACTGGGAGAACCCTGAGTTGGGCTTCACGGGGGTCGGGATCCGTCTGGTTGTGCATGACCCAGACGAGCCCCCTCAAGTGGAGGCGCTCGGTCTGTCCATTGGCGTGGGGACCCAGGCGTACGTGTCAGTCCAGCACACCAAGGTGTGTACACACGCATGGGGCACGGGACAGAGGTGCGAGTAGGTATGTTCGTACGAGTGGCATAGCGCGCTTGGCACTGGGAGCCCTTTCACTTTCCAGTCCACTTTCCTGTCCTCTGGGTGACTGGCCTGTGGGCCCCAGTGTAGTTGAACAGTCTGCACACATCGATAGCTATGATTAATAAGAAAGTTTTTGGGGGTTAAATCGCGTAAGTACATTTGTGTCGTAAGCCTCCACCACCCGACACAGACAGTAAGGGTTGTCACGTAGACAAAACGTGCCAATTAGTGACTACATTTACAATTTGAGTTCGACGTTTTGCCGGTAATTATATCCAGCATCATTGAGCCACAATCGTGAAGCAATCCACCTGCTTCCGGTCTTAAACCTTACTGGCTGTGTCGGGTAGTGGAGGGTTACGACATTTATACTTACATGATCTAACCCAAAACCCCTTATTATGAATAACATTGGTCATGGAAACCTACGTGTTAGATAGCTTTCATGTTGGTTTGCACGCTTCGCTTCAGTAGCCACTCAGCTGTGGTAGAAGCCCAAGATCACCTTCCAGACTATGAGATGTCACGCTTTTTCCTTTGCTGCGTGCTCTTCATGGAAGGCAAGAGCTTTGCGTAACCGTAATGGGGCTTGTACAGTGTAGTGCATTGAATAATGAGGCAACCAAGCAGCAATTTGTAATAGACCACACTGCTAAATAGACTGGGAAAGTCTAAACTGCTCCAGTATTTTGCGCAGTGGCACATTGGTGGTGTGCGGGCGCTTGGCACGCGGTAAAACCATTGTGAGCTCAAGTCCCGGTAGGAGGTAGACACATCGCTTTACGCTTTCAGGCTTGACCAAGAAAATATTACCACTTTATGGGAAGTACACCACGTTTGTCCTATCAATAGACTCACTCCTGCCATAAAAAATGTGAAATTTCTATTTACGGATGTTAAAAGTCCACCATGGACCTGCACCCACCACCGCCCTCCCCAGTTTTTCCCCTCTTGTCTTGCTCGACTCCTTCACGCGCTTTCCGCTCCGGCAACTCGAAGCCTCCTGCCAGAGCTCCCTCCCACGGCTCCATCCATCATTAGTCTCGACCACGATACTGTTGCCATTGATGGCATTTTGTTTGCCGAGTCTCGTCCAGAGCATCAACCAACAGTACCCGTGGGGGGACTGCGACCCCAGCAAAAAGTTGCAGTCCCCGGCGCCTTACAGCATGGCGCGCTGCCTCCAGGAGTGTGAGGCTGACTTGGTGGAGAGAATTTGCGGCTGCAAGCCCTTCAACTTCCCAGGTGCGTGCACATCACGCAGCACAACGACCACAACGCACGATTGTGTGCGGTTTTTTTTTTACAGCGCGACATGCGCCCAAATGGATCTGTTGTTGTTATGCGCCCTGCCTTCGCAACTTCGTTCCGAGCCGCGTTGGGAATGCGGGCCCACAGTTGAGTCCCTTTGAAGTCGAACTTAAAAATTTGTTTGCGACAAAACGGAGCGTAGATGCGGCACAATATTCATCGTTTCAAAAACTGCAGGGCGCTAACTTCATAGGAGAAGGAGCGACCTCCCCCTCTAAGAGAGGGCGTTAGTAGTGAAGAGATTACGTGGCCATTATATGGCAGCGCAGCAAGTAGGTTCATGACCTCGACACCAATTTTGAGGCACCAAACGGGGAGACTTGTCAGTGTGCCCCGGGTTGAATGGTGGCACACAATCTACATCTCAGATGATGTCAATTTACTCAATCGCCTTGCATAGTCACAATATTTAAGGTCTCCGTGATAAAGTCTCGCGCCGTAGGATATGCGATGAAGCGCACACGTGGCCCACAGTTTTGGAGGCTAAAGTTGGCAGCTCACGCAGGTTTTGCGGAACTCGCCAAAACCCACCGGGCCGCGGAGTGACAATTTGATGACCATACAGCGAAGTTGGTTCGTGAACTCGTCTCTGTGCTGGAAGCACCGAGTGCTGTCCCCTCGTGTGCGTCGTGGGTTTTCCCCGGGTTCTCCGGTTTCCCTGCCACGCGAATCGAAATGGTCAGGATAAAGGAATGGGACAAACGTCCCAATGTTGGATTCTCGTGATAAGGATCCTTGCGGTTCAGCGATGCCTTCCTGGATGGAGGATATCACCGCCCGCATGAAATATCACAGAGCTCTCACCTGGACGAACATGCATCAATAAACTTAATGGATATTATCTCGGAAGGTGTGTCCTCATGCCCGACTGGAGACGCTGCTGTTCTTGCTGCTGCTGCTGCTGCTGTTGTTGTTGTTGCAGGTGACATAAAGGAGTGTTCGTTGTACCAGCATTACCACTGCGCCCGAGACGCGTTGGGTACGTGATGCCCTCTGACACATGCGTGTGGTTGATTGTAATGCATGGTTTTCTGACCACGACAACCACCACCAAAAGTGGGCGATTGAGAGTGGTTGTCTTGTTGTGGTGGCGGTGGTGGAGTTGGCAATGATATTGGTGCTGCTGCTGACGGTACTTTGTGATGGATGCATGCCTGGTGATCACAGTGATGACCAACTACGATTTCGGTAATGTATTCCGACTGCCGTGAACTTGTCCTGAAGATTGTCGGCGTGTTTCAAGCGAAATGTCGCATATCTGATTGATAAATTCGATTGTGAGAACTGTCCTTCAACTCCCGGTGAGCTGAAACAACAACAATAATAATAAACTCCACGTTAAATGCGTCTACAGTGAGGGAAAAATATATTTGATCCCCTGCTGATTTTGTACGTTTGCCCACTGACAAAGAAATGATCAGTCTATAATTTTAATGGTAGGTTCATTTGAACAGTAAGAGACAGAATAACAACAACAAAATCCAGAAAAACGCACGTCAAAAATGTTATAAATTGATTTGCATTTTAATTAGGGAAATAAGTATTTGACCCCTCTGCAAAACATGACTTAGTACTTGGTGGCAAAACCCTTGTTGGCAATCACAGAGGTCAGACGTTTCTTGTAGTTGGCCACCAGGTTTGCACACATCTCAGGAGGGATTTTGTCCCACGCCTCTTTGCAGATCTTCTCAAAGTCATTAAGGTTTCGAGGCTGACGTTTGGCAACTCGAACCTTCAGCTCCCTCCACAGATTTTCTATGGGATTAAGGTCTGGAGACTGGCTAGGCCACTCCAGGACCTTAATGTGCTTCTTCTTGAGCCACTCCTTTGTTGCCTTGGGCGTGTTTTGGGTCATTGTCATGCTGGAATACCCATCCACGACTCATTTTCAATGCCCTGGATGAGGGAAGGAGGTTCTCACCCAAGATTTGACGGTACATGGCCCCGTCCATCGTCTCTTTGATGCGGTGAAGTTGTCCTGTCCCCTTAGCAGAAAAACACCCCCAAAGCATAATGTTTCCACCTCCATGTTTGACGGTGGGGATGGTGTTCTTGGGGTCATAGGCAGCATTCCTCCTCCTCCAAACAGGGCGAGTTGAGTTGATGCCAAAGAGCTCCATTTTGGTCTCATCTGACCACAACCCTTTCACCCAGTTGTCCTCTGAATCATTCAGATGTTCATTGGCAAACTTCAGACGGGCATGTATATGTGCTTTCTTGAGCAGGGGGACCTTGCGGGCGCTGCAGGATTTCAGACATTCACGGCGTAGTGTGTTACCAATTGTTTTCTTGGTGACTATGGTCCCAACTGCCTTGAGATCATTGACAAGATCTTCCCGTGTAGTTCTGGGCTGATTCCTCACCATTTTCATGATCATTGCAACTCCACGAGGTGAGATCTTGCATGGAGCCCCAGGCCGAGGGAGATTGACAGTTCTTTTGTGTTTCTTCCATTTGCGAATAATCGCACCAACTGTTGTCACCTTCTCACCAAGCTGCTTGGCAATGGTCTTGTAGCCCATTCCAGCCTTGTGTAGGTCTACAATCTTGTCCCTGACATCCTTGGAGAGCTCTTTGGTCTTGGCCATGGTGGAGAGTTTGGAATATGATTAATTGATTGCTTCTGTGGACAGGTGTCTTTTATACAGGTAACAAGCTGAGATTAGGAGCACTCCCTTGAAGAGTGTGCTCCTAATCTCAGCTCATTACCTGTATAAAAGACACCTGGGAGCCAGAAATCTTTCTGATTGAGAGGGGGTCAAATACTTATTTCCCTCATTAAAATGCAAATCAATTGATAACATTTTTGACATGCGTTTTTCTGGATTTTGTTGTTGTTATTTCTGTCTCTCACTGTTCAAATAAACCTACCATTACAATTTTAGACTGGTAATTTCTTTGTCAGTGGGCAAACGTATAAAATCAGCAGGGGATCAAATATTTTTTTCCCTCGCTTTACATGTAACGATGTATGGCTTTGTCAGGTGGTGGACATGTCTTACGATATAATTTTTGACAAATAATTACGTGACCTAACCAAACATTTAATTATTCATCATGAAGATTTTGCCGATGCTGCTTTTGCTGTTGCTGCTGAGTGTGCTACTGCTGCTGCTGCTTGTGCTGCTGATGCTTCTGGTGAAACTGATGGCGCTGCTGATGCTGCTGGTGATGATGGTGCTGATGGTGATCCTTATGACGATGCTGATGATGATGATGCTGATGATGACGATGCTGATTGGTCGGTGGCTGAACACTTCCGGGCTGTAGTTCTCTCGCAGGCGCAGGGGATGTGCACGGGGGGGTCGCACTTGTCGCAGTGCCCCGTGCCGTGTCTGCACAAGAACTTCCCGTCCTCCGTGTCCTACGCCACCTTCCCAAGCCTGCAGGCAGCGCAGCGCTACGAGAGATCCCTCAACTACAGCCTCGTCTACATGAGGTGCAGCCCCACACAACCTCACCTACACGTGGTGCAGCCCCACACAACCACAGTCTCACCTACACGAGGTGCAGCCTCACACAACCACAACCTCACCTACACGTGGTGCAGCCCCACACAACCTCACCTACACGTGGTGCAGCCCCACACAACCTCACCTACACGAGGTGCACCCGCACACAACCACAGTCTCACCTAGACGTGGTGCAGCCCCACACAACCACAGTCTCACCTACACGAGGTGCAGCCCAACACAACCACAGTCTCACCTACACGAGGTGCAGCCCAACACAACCACAGCCCCACACAACCACAGTCTCGTCTACACGTGGTGCAGCCCCACACAACCACAGCCTCACCTACACGTGGTGCAGCCCCACACAACCACAGTCTCACCTACACGTGGTGCAGCCCCACACAACCACAGCCTCACCTACACGTGGTGCAGCCCCACACAACCACAGTCTCACCTACACGAGGTGCAGCCCCACACAACCACAGCCTCACCCTACACGTGGTGCAGCCCCACACAACCACAGCCTCACCCTACACGTGGTGCAGCCCCACACAACCACAGTCTCGTCTACACGAGGTGCAGCCCCACACAACCTCACCTACACGATGTGCAGCCCCACACGACCACAGCCCCACACAACCACAGTCTCACCTACACGAGGTGCAGCCCCACACAACCACAGTCTCACCTACACGTGGTGCAGCCCCACACAACCACAGTCTCACCTACACGAGGTGCAGCCCCACACAACCACAGTCTCACCTACACGAGGTGCAGCCCCACACAACCACAGTCTCACCTACACGTGGTGCACCCGCACACAACCACAGTCTCACCTACACGTGGTGCACCCGCACACAACCACAGCCTCTCTCTCTCTCTCTTCCTCCCTCCCTGTCACCAAAAGCACAGTCTCAACCTAGCCGGATTGGCGTACAGCCCAAATGAACCATAGCCATCACCACAACCACAGAATCTCCCCCTCCGTTTTGACACAAAGGCAGCAACAACCTCTCCCTTTCTTATCCACACAACCACGCTCGTTGTTTTCCCTCTCCTCGGCCACAGGAACATCCACCTCAGCCTCTCCCCTCTCCCCAGTAACAACCGCGATCAACAGCCTATGCCCTAGACACCTCGATAGGACAAACGAGACGGACGTTCAAGATGAGTCGGGGTAAGAAGGGGACAAAAAGCGGAGGAGGCATTAGAGGCAGAAACGAACGAGGTTAGAACGCGTAAAGCCAGACAATGTACGAGCCATTAAATAATCTATTCTTAAAAAAGAACAACGCATCGAAACGTCGAGAGGAGACGCATTAGAAGCCAACTTAAACACACACACAGCCAATTAATGTTCGCGTTATAAAAGCATGAACCCTACACCTATGCCCCTGTGGCTAATTGGTGGTACATTTTAAGACACTCATTCACGTCGACTCATTGCCTTCGACCAACGCACCCTGAATGCGCCCACTCTCGCCAGAGCTCGCAAGCTCAGCGAGATGGAGCCTGGTGTATGGCGCACGACACTGGGCACTTGTAAAACTACGTCGTCAGGAGGGGGCAGTGCTGCAAAATCGATTTGTTGTATTGCACAGTCTGTACTAACTCTCCAGAGTCCACCTTGCTTGCCTTCATCAACCGGCAGTGACCAGCGCGGTGAAGTATGGTCAAATAACCGCCCCCACCTATCACCACGACCTGCACGGCCTGGTGATGCCCTCAACCAGCAGTGGATTGACCAAAGCGGATGTACGTGTTGTACATGGGAGCCCGCTGGGATGGTGCACGTGTTACGCGTGTCACGTTACATCACATCAAACCCCACCACGGTGCACCTCTCTTTCCACGTTGAACAATACAAATAATGTTCGCACGCAACAACCCTTCCGTCACCAATGCACGCCGGTTAATTGAGCATACTTCACCGCCGTGGTCAGTGCACGTGGGTGAACGCGAGGGTGCGTGGACGTGGAAGCATGGAAGTGCAGCGCGAGTTGAACGATTTCTTCGGTTCAAATACGATTGAACGCGCTGCACGCGCCCGATGATTGGTAAATAGGTGCCCGCACGACGTGGCGTGCCGATTCAAATTAGGACGGCGGCCTTGTTGCGTGCGTGTGTTTGTCCTGGTGTTGGGGTGTGTTTACCAATTATCAGGCACGTGCGGCACGCAAATACAAGTTTGGTAAATGCCGTGCCGTATTTGATGTGTTGCCAAATGTGACCGTCTAATCAACAGAGAAAACCTGCTGTCCATCGACGTTGCGTACACGGACCTGAATTACGCGCTCATCCAGCAGCAGAAGACTCTGCCAGAGAGCGTCTTACTCAGTGGGTGGTCCACATGACCGTGGCAGGACGTCAAGCAGACATAACAGACGCAAACATCACTCAACAATGATTGTTTATCCCCCCCCTCTCTCCGAGTATTAACTCGCACGTGTGCCACGGCTCCGTCTCACGGGGCAAAGGAATCTCCATTTTGAACCCTGCAGGTAGCAAGTACATCACACGATGTGCAAGGGGCCTGGAAGATGACTTCTCACTTAGGCACCATGTCCCGCAGACAATGATAGTTATACACGGCAGTGAAAATTATACATGTCACATAGGTGGAATTTATCCAAATCAAGTGAGAAACCAAATGTAAAAATGGATATTTTATTCGTGCAGTCATTTGTAGATGACTGCGCTGAGACCATTTGTGAAAGCAGTTGAATAACAAATAACATGGCACCGTATAATAATGCACTTTAGATTACGTAAGTTACAAAATATGCTTCGCTCAATTGTGTACACTACAGCCTGGGGGGTTGTGTTAAACAAAACCAATCCATGCCCCATCCCCGGAGCCAAAGCATATCCACACAAGACGCTGCTTTATTCCCACCTAACATCTACGGCATCACCCAGCCCACCCACTCACCTGCATTCCTCATTACCCCCTTCCCCCCCTCATCGCGATATAAACGAGCCTCCCTTACCTGCACAATCGTCACTTGCGGACGGGAGCGTGGGCAGGGGAGCTGCGCTAAGCATCACCGTATGTGCGCGCGTGCAGGCGACATAGGAGGTCAACTGGGGCTGTTTGTGGGCGCCAGCGTGATAACCATCATCGAGGTGCTGGAGTTTGTGGCTCGCAGTGCCGCAAGAGCCCTCAACGCTGCCGCTTCCTTCCTGAGCAACCGCGCAGCCACCTGCACCAAGGCTGCGTTGTCACCTCCCGTGCAAGGCTAAATGATCATCTCCAATGTCATTATTCCCCACCGCTAGCGCGGTTCCAATCCAGCTTGTGGACCGTGTCCAGGAGTGCCATGGAGTGCACGTGATGGCAATTGAACGTGTTTTAATTTTCTATACAAGAACAATCAACCTTGCTCATCCCGTTACTTTTAATACACTAGGTGAGCTACTGAGCTTGGGTTAATAATTGTAAAGTGGCCTTTTCAGTTATTAATTTCCGACAATCCCCACTCAATGAAAATCATCGTTGATAAATTAGTCATATAACCTATGACCCTCATTCAAACGCATCTAAAACATTGGTTCGTTTAGTGCTGGACAATGATCGTTTCACGTTGCTAAACAATGTATCCAGCGAGAAGCTACTTCCTAAGCAATTCTGCAATGTATAGTCAAATAAAGTTCCTTACTAAAAAATCAACATGTTCTACTCCTAATAAAAGGGTTTTCCCCTTTTTTCTGGCAACAAAACTGACACATTTTTAGAAGGATTAATGTCTGCATTAACCACAATACCTGCAGTCAAAATGGAAACAAAATAAAATTATCATAGTATGTTTTTTGTTTGCATTTTGACTGCAGGTATTGTGGTTAATGCAGACATGAATCCTTGTAAAAGGTTGCAGTTTTATTGCCAGAAAAAAGGGGAAAAACCCTATTCTTACATTTTGGTACTGGCAAAGGAGGTCGAATGATCTACTCCTGTTAACTGCTGAGGAATTAAAGACCCCCCATAAAGCCTTAACAGACTGTTGGGGGCAAGTGCTATTAGCGAACACTTATGAAGACACTAGGTACTCATTTGAGGCTGAGTCGACCTGGGAATGACACACACGTCTCCGCACTCACATGCAACGCGTACTTCACAAAACAACACATTACACATGAACAGGCCCAACCAACGGATCTCACCAGCACACGCGGCGATTGGTTCATCGGAGTGAAACAAGCGATGGAAATATATCACGCACTATTGAGACACTGAGTGAACACATTTATAAACTGAGCAGATATTCCCAGTAAGCAGTAACGCAAACAATATTAAAATGAGCCATTTATTTTTTCAGTAACAATCAAAAATGCAATATAATACATTTAACTGTAGTTTTCAGCCATTTGTCCAACAGCTCTATTACATAAACAAACGATAATAAACAACCACGAGTCGGCCAATATAAATCATTTACATTATGCATTTCGAAAGACATGAGGACTGTGGCTGGACATGAACACAAAAAATTAAAACCAAACAATGATTTTATTTCACCCTCTTTTACAATTGAACTTAAAAACTAGGAAAACATTTTGAAATAAGCAAATAATACAAGTCTGGAAAACCTGCCGCGCGTTTAAGAAACAACCTCAGCCACGCGTACACAATTTAACCAAGTTCATTCACATTCAAACTAACGCCCCTGGTTTGCGATATTTATTTGAATCCGATACAAAAGGATAAAATTGCTCAGGGCCGTGTAAAACAGATTCCTCTGCATCCAATGCCTGGTGCAGAGCTACAACATAATTTACAATGGCTCCACACTCGCCAGCGGAAAAGGGGGGGAGCGCGCACGTCACTTCTTTACCATTTCATGACTATTCATTTTCTACCGGTTACATTACACACACCGCTTCCTCAAGCACGCATTCCACTTGGTTAAGAGCTCCTTGTGACAAAAGGAGTACGGTGGCGATCCACGGCAAATATAAAAATGCATTCACTTGAAATTCAAAAGTCAAGTGTGTGCTCACAAATGTGACCACCGTGCAATCTTTGCTGCCCAGATTGCAAAAACGGGTTAAGGTTCCTTAGTCAGAGGTGTTACGCTTGCCAGAGCGGAGTGGCTTGTAATAATTTTAGTCCTAAGCTTTGTCCATCCTGTGGGGAAGTTACAAAATTTTTTTAACTTGGCTATCAATCTGTAGCTCACAGCACTTGGGGTGCGCAGTATATAAATAGCAGGGCCGCATTATATTGACGCAGAGTGGATGACGCAACGTCGCCTTATGAGAACCGTTGGGTTTGAAGGCAGTGTGTGGGAGAATGTGGTGGCTTTCTGCACTGCAGATGACAAAGCAACACTCATAATCCACACCTTTTGTAACGATATTTAAAAATATTTTTTTTGTGTAGCATCACACCAACCCTGCTTTCCCACCATGGTGCATCTGTCCCAGGAAAGGGATCATCTGTGTTTGTCTGAAGATGATTTATGAGTGACACAGTTAAGGCATAACAGTAATTCAACGATGCTACCAATACACAAACATATTGAATTTAAATGTATTTCATCAACTCCAAACCTCATGAAATGACCCCGGAATATACCAATAGATTACTTTTACACTCATAAGTGCTCATGACCAAACTGCCATTTCAGTCAAACCTAGTTTGTAAATGAACAGAAAGCCATATGGTTGCATATAGCGTTTGGGAGATTTTGGCAATGGGGTGTGAACAGCTCTTACAGCATGCTACTCCTAACACCACGTCGCTGCACACCTGTGCTTGATAAAGGATATTGCTTTTTCTCCTCCTTTCCCCGGGCACCATCCTTCTTCTCCTTCTTTTCCTTCTCTTTCTCATGATGGATATCCTGAGCGAAAGATAATCACACGCACAAAGATCCCCGGTGTAGCCTCAACAATCGGTTGGGGAAAGTGCCGTTAGCGTGCACCGATGAAGCCCGGCACGGCAAACGAGGGGGTGGGTGGCCAGCACCATGCCCGGCCGCTTTTGTCTCCCCAAGTGGCGATCTTTATACACTGCACCAGGTACTCATTTGAGGCCGAGTCGACCTAGGGGATGCCCAGGATCGGTTCAGATAATCGTCACTGGTGCTGGCCGCGAGCAGGAATCGAACTCAGGTCCCCGGGTTCGGAGGGCAGCATGCTTACCCGCTACACTACCGTTCCACACTCGCTATTTGCACATTCATAGCTCAAGTGAAAAGAAAACTCAAAGGTATTTCACTGCATTCCATGTACTTCACAAACTCTGCAGCATCAATCCCTCTGGTACATTCCTACTCGTGGAAGAGCAATGTGAACTGTACATAAATGTGCTATGAAAGAAGCGCTATCGCATGAAATGCTGCCATTTCTATTTATTTTTCCTTTTAATGCCAGTGCTTTTTGACAAATCTGTCGATTTCTTTTTTTGGAATTGGCGCTCGTGCATGATTTGTACGGAAATGATGCCTCACTTGGAAACACGGCAAGGAGAGGCTTTAAGTCGGCACGCGTGGAGGTTAGAAACAACCAGTGGGTTATGACCGTACCTTCTTCCCACTCGAGGAACTTCCTTTCTCGTGTTTTGAGAAGTCTCCTGCAATCTTCTCCTTGCTGCCAGACACCTTGGAGCTCTTGCTTTTGTCCTTGTCCCTCTCCTTGGGAGAGTCAGTCGGGCTGTTGCTCTTGCTGTGCTTCGTCCCCATGTCTTAAAATCGCGAGACAAGGATCCCCCTTAGAGCCTTAACAGACTTTTGGGGCGAGTGCTGTTAAGCGAGCACCTATGAAAGGCCGGCGAGAATCACGAGGTGGTGGGTGGCCAATACCACGCATTGGCCCCCGCCTTTGTTTCCATAGTAGCGATGATTACACAATTGCACCAGGTGTTCGACTTAGGGGAGGCTCAGGACCAGTTCAGACAATTGTCACTGGTGATGATGGCCGTGAGCGGGAATCGAACTCGGGTCGCCGGGTTCGTAGCGCAGCACGCCAACTGCTACACTACCGCCGCCCACACACACAGGTGCATTTAATGGTCTGCACAACGCGATCAATATAAGAGACACGCGCCCTTCACGAATGCCTAAGGTGAAATATTCGTGTTAAAAATGTAATGTCAATGTAAAACAGGATAACAAAGTCAATATTGCCCATTTTTCATTAAAACTTAATAAGGCAACGGTTCTTCCAAATGAAAATATTTCATTAAAAAAATCTATAGTTCAGCTGCCTACGACAAAATCACAAGGAATGCACCCGGTCTCATCGGAATGAAAAACTAGAAGGGGTAGGGCCTGAATAGTGTGCAAATTGATAACCATCATGTATGTCTGGTTGTTATAAGCTGCTTCTGGGCGACATGGTCGACGGCAGATGGCAGAGCAGTAACATCTATTGTTATACCGTACTTTATATGCCCCCCGCCTTTACCAACCCGCACCGACCAACATCAAGTATGGTCAAAGGACCTGTACGGTGTGGGGAGAGCACTCTATGTACTCGACAAAAGTGCTGTAAACGCACACATTTAGTTCTTTCAATCAGTCTTGAACGATAAAACACAAGATGTACGTGTGTATATAAACAGCTGAGATGAGCTACTTACTCAGGCCGTTTTCATCTTTCCGGCGCTTGTTTTCGTTGGACGGATCTCGCTCAGCCCCCGAATGGTCCTGTGCAATAAGGGCACAAAAAAGCAGCCCCCTTCATTAACAAAAAAATATTGGCTTACCAGCCATCATCAGTCTAATGGAGAAAGCTTGGTAGTCATTTAAAGACTGCATCTATTTTTATACTCCAAATATTGATTGCATCACAACATGTGAAAATCTATTTTCTCAGAATTATTCTTTAAACTTCCATTATTTCCTCAATCATTTAATTCTCAAAAGCAGCGCAAGTTATATGAATGTGTAGTTAATTCAATTGATGAGAAATGCCGAAGGAGACAAGAATCGATCTATTTAATAAAAATCTCAGCTCGCTCATCGTGACAGCGCATCAATTTCGTGACGGGAGGATGTTTGCATGCCTGAAGATTACCAACACTTTGAGCCAGCAAAAAAGAAAACGTACCATCTTGTCAAGGAAAACAGTGCTCCATTTAACATTCAACAGTTTGTATGACTTTTGATTTAAAGCTTTCGTGACTGCAAGGGATTCATCTTCTTTGGTTCTTTCGGTAAAGTCACGTAGAAGGCCGCTTGTGTTGTGGCCGAAACGTCGTGGGAATATTATTGTGCAATTTTATTATCAATTTATTATTTTATTCTCATTCTACGTGACTTTACCGAAAGAACCAAAGAAGAGGAGTTTGTATGCCATCGCGAATCGGGGCCGGCGCAAGACCGGTTCCATCAGACCGCATTTGCATGAAGCGGGGCCACTCGCGCAGGTGGAGCCACAGGACGGGGCGGTGGGGGGGGTGCCGTACCCGCTTGCGTTCCTTCTTGTCGCGATCGCGCGAGCGCTCGTGAAACTGCTCCCTCCTCTCCACGTCCCGCTCTCTGCTGTGGGAGCGCCCGCGGGCCCCACCCCCGCTGCCGAGCTGGTGTAGGTTTTGGAGCTGCCCGGGACGAAGCCACCAAGCACAGCACACGTTAAGCTCTCAGTGGCCGCCTCCGGCAAGCCATTCACCTGCAAACACCTGAGGCAATTGCAACTCAGCCCAAAGTTTCATCAAAAATGAGT